AAATTTCCAGCAACTATAATACTCTTTAAACCTTACTAATCAACTCAATTTAATGACATAAAAGCCATAAAACTTTTTCTTTAAGTGGGTACTTCAAATCCTTTCAAAAAGTCTTAGTTTTCATGACTTAAATTAAATTACAACATACTTATTTAATATAGGAAAAATTGCTCCCATTAATCTGAACTTTGCCTCATCCGCCGAAATTAACCCCAACTTCAATTTATTATCTATCACTCCCAACTTTGGGGGGTATTAATTTCCGTTGCACACAACAGGTCATCTAACTTGATATAGTAGGTTACCTAGACACGTGTCAACACGTGATAGGTCCCAAAAAAAAAACAAAAAAAAAAAATTAAAACAAAATTTTTTTTTTAAAAAAGGAAAAATACCCAGCCCCCCACCTTATCCCGGAAAACACCCCACCCCCACCCCTACCCCTACCCCTACCCAGCCGGAAAAACCGCCCCTTCCTCAAAAACCCCTCCCCCGCTACCGGAAACCGCCACCCAGCCATCCCTTCCCTTCGCCCACCCCCCACTCCCCAGCCCCGATAACACCCCTCCCCAGCCCCGATAACCCCTCCCCAGCCCCGATAACACCCCTCCCCACCCCCGATAACCCCTCCCCAGCCCTGATTACCCTGCCTCAGCCCCGAAAACCCAGCCCCAGCCCCCGATAACCCTTCCCCAGCCACTGATAACCCCTCCCCACCCTCAAAATCGGCGAACCCAGCCACGAAATCGACGACGCATATGCACGAAATCGACCACAAACGGCCGAAATCGGCCGATTTAGGGTATTCATCCCCAACATCGGCCATTTTCAGCCATTTGTGGCCAATATTGACCATTTTTGGCCAACGGTGGTGGTGGTTTGATGTGTGGCGGTGGTGTTCGTGTGGTGGTGGGTGCTGCTGGGTTGTTCTAATTTTTTTTATTTTTTATTTTATTTTATTTTTTTTTACATTTTTCTTTATTTTTTTTAATTTTCTTTACTTTATTTTTTAAAAAAATTTCTTTACTTTATTTTTTTTTTAATTTTCTTTATTTTTCTCAACCAATTACATATTGACACGTGTGTAAAAAAAATCACAAAGGTTTACCTGCTTTACCGGTTGCAAGTCATTTGGGTGCAACGAAAATTAATACCCCCCAAAGTTGGGAGTGATAGATAATAAACTGAAGTTGGGATTAATTTCGGCGGATGAGACAAAGTTCAGATTAATGGGAGCAATTTTTCCTTTAATATAAAACATTATTTTTAGACTAGGAAATCATATTTAAATCATTAAAATCTTTTTTCCTTTTATGGGTAATAAAACCCTAAATCAATAATTAAAAAGTGGTGTGTATAATTAAATTACATCATTAAATTGAGGGCTTTAAACTCATTTCAAACATGTTTAAACAATAAATTAATCAATAACAACAACCTAGCATCAATTCCTAACCACTTATATAAAATCCTCAATTTCTAGGATTCATACACTAGTAGAAAAAATCAATTGGGAAGCCCCAAATTGGAAGCGGTTATTGAATTCCGCTTCCAAAAACCCTCAAAAACCCGAAAAGAGAGAGAGAGAGAAACATACAAATGGGAAGCGGTTTTCCTTTTTTTAAAAAAAAAAACCTAAAACTAATATTGTACAGCTAGTAGTTGCCCCTTATATTCTCTCTCCATTCATTTTCTTATTCTCTTTCTCTCTCCTCTCTTCTCTCGGTGCTTTCTCTCTCCTCTTAACCTCTCTCGTTCTCCTGCTCTTTTTTCCTCTTCTTCGATCTCCTTCTCCTTCTTCCTCTTCTTTTCCTTTCTTCGATCTCCTTCTCTTCCCTCTTCTTTTCCTCTTCTTTGATCTCCTTCTCTCTTCTAACCACCACAAACGCCGACCACCACCACAAACGCCGACCGAGCAAGCACCACCATGGGATTCTAGGTTTTTAGGTCAAATTCGACCATGAAAACCCTATATCTAGAGTTTTTCATGGTCAAATTTGACCTTTAAAACCATAATTTCATGCCAAAATCGGGGTTTTGGTGGATTTTAAGGTATGATCCTTTTTTTGAGGTTTTTTTATTTTATTTTACGGTGATGTGTGGTTGTTTTGGTTTGTTTCAGGTGGCGGCGGATCTGGTTTGGGTAGAGGTCGTGGTGGGTAAGATGGTTTTTTTTTTTTTTAATTTTAAAGGTTGGTTAAAGGTGCTTGGTGGTGGTGGTGATACGGTATAAGGGGGCGGTGATACGGTTTTGGTGGGTGAATATTGGTGTTTGGTGGATGAATTGCGCGTGGGTGGTGGCGGTGGGTGGCGGTTGGTGGCTGCGGTGTTGGATGATTTTTTATTATTATTTTCTTTTTTTTTCCGAGGAAAATGCTGTATTTTTTTTGTATACATATGTTAATTGTTTGTATTTTAATTTAAGTATTTTTTCAGATTACAATTTTATTTTATATTTTTTTTGATGAATATTACATCATTTGGTTAATAAAAATAATGTTTATGCATATGTTAATTGTTTGTATTTTAATTTAAGTAAAACAAATTTAAAATTTTTTTAGGCATAATGGGAAGCGGTTTGGCGCCAACACCGCTTCCCATTACCTCTAAGGGAAGCGTTTTGAACCGCTTTCCATTTTAATGGGAAATGGGAATCCCCCTAAGCCGGAGCGGTTCAAAATCGCTTATCATTAGGGGGTTTAAACCACTTCCTTTTCAGTGTTTTCTACTAGTGGATGATAATTTAGGATTCCTGATTAAATAAAAATCTGAAATTTATATTAATAATTTAACAATATTATAATCCCAAAATAAATACCAAGACATAATTAAAATCATGCTTTAAAATCAATAAAATAATAGAATTAAATTAGAAAGAGAAAGAGATTTTTTTAAAAAAATACTACCAAACCGCAAAAGAGGGGGAGGATAGAGGAGTGGCCGATGGTGGTCTCCGATGCTAGTGGTGGCGCCGGTGGTCCTCCGATGACGCTGGCGTGAGGGAAGAAGAAGAGGGAGAAAGAGAGGCGTGGGAAAGAGAGGAAAAGAAAGGGAAAAATAAGAGGAAAAATAAGGAGAAAACGGAGAGAGAAAATAGGGAGAAAACCTTTTGAATTTTTTTTTTTATGAAATATGACAATTATGCATCTTGAGTGAAAAATCTTGAGGTTTTAAAGTATTTTATACTCCCCTTTACAACAAAAACTCATAACTACAACATTGTCATTACTAAATCCTACTCCCCCTTAACTTTTCCTTTGGGGCCAACTTATTGGGCCTTCAAGTTTCCTTAACTTCCTAATAAGTTAGTCCAATCAATTAAATAAGATTTTACCCAATTAAAAATTCTTTTGTTGTCTCAATTCATGGCTCATTTAATTTATACACACTTACATTTTATTTGAATAATTAATTTCTTTTTAAAATGAAACGAATCATTTTAATAAATAAAATAAATAATTTATATGTATAAAAATATAATAAATATTCGAAGTAATACACCCGTAGTGGTTGAGGTAACTTTTAGTGGTGGAGGTGTCTTTTATCAAAGGTTAGAAATATTAGTTTTTAAAGTTTAAGGTAGCGGTTGAAAATTTAATCTATAGGGAAAAAATATTGATTCTTAAATGTAGCAGCTAGCTAACCGCTATATTATTGAACACTCATACCTAAGGTATCTATCTTCACAGCTAATAACTTTTTAACATCTACCTACACAGCTTAAAGCTACTACCACAGCTAACATCTAATGTCACAACTATATTTTGCCTAACACGCCCTTAAACTTTTTGTTAAATTTGTCCTTTAACATTATATCAAAAACTAACGTGATATAAAGATCACGAGTTCAAATTTCATCCATCCATCCTTTCAAACTAGAATATTAAACGTTGGGTATGGTGGGTGCATGCTACATCCACATTTCAAGCCTAATAAGCTCTTATGTGAGGGGATGTGACAGAGTATATGTAAACCTTTTGGTTTAGTTGGTCTTTTAACACATAATATCTCAATTTCTTCTAGTTGGCATGTTTCTTTTATCACACTTTTCAAAGCTCAAATTTAACGATTAATAACTTTAGTTATCAACATTATAAAATTATAAAAAGTGGATATTAATAAAATTTTCATACGAATATAACTATGTTTAATCACATGCAAAAATTAGTCAAAGTGTAGTTTGTGAATGTACAAATTGCGTCAACTAAAAAATAGCAAAAGTATGTTATTATGTTGACTAGGTGCTCCATGAGCATTGAGCACCAAGTAATTTGCACCTTTTTATAAGTGTCTCACTTTGACGGTCATATTTTCCATAGAGTAGTACTTTGACCAATTGTAATTTTAATTAGCAATTAGTGTAAATTATAAAATGCTGATATTTGAAATTACACACTTTGATACGATTTTAAGAACGGATTTTTCATCAAATACCACTGAGTTTAAACTTAATTCACCGTATACCACCAAAAACTTTGTAATACACCTTGTACTACCCAGTTGCTGTACATTAACACGAAATGCCTTTTTCCTTAACTGCCGTTTGAGGGAATTTACCAATTCACCATATACCACTATTGTGAAAAATTATTTCACCATATACCATTATTTAAAAGTTATTTCACTACTTCCCCATTTTTTTGTAACGGTAATATTTTTTTAAAAAATAACCCTTGCACACTTGTAACGGATACTTTGTTTATATAAATGTAGTGTTTGAGGGAGATACTTATCAAGTCACACTTCTAAAAGCTAGAGTTAAAATGTGAACAAACTTTCATTGCTAAAAGTAATATGCAAGTTGAATTGGTAGTTGTTTGTCTTCAAAAAATTTAGGGCTACATGATTTTGCAATGGTTGTAGTACATTTTCTTGAAATGTAATAAACAAGTTTGTTGCAAAACAACTAAGTGCTTAACATTTTTTCCAAAAAAACCTGACACAAGTTTGAAATGTTTTCCCCAAAAAACTATACTTAATTTATGGCAGCTTCAAGGATTCTAACTGTCAGCCTTTCTCTTCCTCCCTCTTCCTTTGCCTTGCTGTGAACTGGATGCTGCATTTTCTGCTTGTTTTGCTGCTTCCTTTCTTGCCTTACAGGTTTTTGCATTGTGTCCCAACTCCTTGCAAAGACTGCACTTGTTGTTCTTGTGCCTCTTTCCTTTTCTTGCTTCATGAAGTGCTCTCCTTCTCTGCTTAGCTGGTCTGCCCGCAGCTCTTTTGACAGTTGGTGGTGCTATTTCAGGCACATCAAATGCTGGCCAGTGACTTGGATCTGACATGGGATTGATGTGGTCTCCATAAGTCAGCTTGTAAGTAGCTCCCTTGAAGTATGGTGACACATAATCTCTGGCTTGATGTCTTTGGCTGTATATGACCCTTAGACCATGTCTGCATGGTATTCCTGACCCTTGCCACTTCCCACAACCACGGGTCATTGTTTAAAGTGTGGCAGGGAACTTCACATGCCCATCCCTAACCTCAAACTCTCCACCACCAGCTGTTGTCACATGACACAATCTGGACTCCTCACTTCTTGTCTCCAAAACTCCCTTAGCAAACTCTGTTAGCTCATTAGGATCCATATCAATTGCTTTGTCAAACCTAGAACCCATCCTTTTCATGCACCAATTCCTTACAGCTGGTTTAAGTCCAAATAAAAAAAAAAAAAAAAAAACAAAAAAACAAAAAAAAACAAAACCAACACAAAGAAATCACAAACCATCAGAACATGGTTCTTACTGTTTAATCACAAAGAAATTAAGGGGTCAGATGTTACCTTCCATTAAAGTCAGGATAAGGAAAATCTCTGTTGTCCTTTGTACATGAGTTGAATGACTCGACAAAGTTTGTTGTGTTATGATCACAACAAACTGTTCTGTCAAACATGTACCTACTCCATTGCTCTTCAGTAGCTGTAAGGTAATCAAATGCTGCTGCATCATATTTCTTGATCTTTGACATTGCCTTGTCATACACATATGCATTGTATGCATTAGCTGCAATCCAAAAGAGTTTATGAAACTCTGTCCCACTCCACCCAGCTTTTTTGCAGTTAGAGTATACATGCTGACAGCATACCCTCCTAGTTGCTCTTGAAAATACCTCAAAAAGGGCTGATTCAACACCCTTCAACATACAAACACAAAGTTAGTTACTGAAAATTAACAAAAGAAAGACAAAGTTTAATTATTTTAAAAAGCAAGAAACTAACCCTCATCCTGTCACTTATAAAAGTCCAGTCATCCCTTTCAGATCCATATTGTGCAAATAAGAGCCTTAGGTTTCTGAAAAAGTAAGTCCAGCTGTCTATACTCTCTGTATCAACCAGACCATAAGCTATCACAAAAATCTCATTATTGCCATCAATGGACACTGCAGTGAGCATGACTCCTTTGTAATAGCAACTGAGATGGGCACCATCAATCCCTATAATGGGTCTGCAGCCACCCAAGAACCCTTTCACCTGAGCTGCAAAAGAGATGAAACATGCCTTGAACTTTTCACCATTACCCCTACTGTCAGTCCAAGTAATGAGAGCATATGAGCCAGGATTGGTGGCCTTTATCATCTCAGCATATTTTGGTAAGAGAGAATAGGACTGGGCAAAACCACCATGAATTTGTTCCCTGGCCAAACACTTCACTTTGTAAAACAACCTGGACTTTACTTGGATCCTAAACCTCTCCAGGCACATCCTTTGCAGTGCATCAACAGGGATTTCTGGGTTTGCTTCCAGATCTGGCCTCAAATGTCTATAAAGCCATGCTGAAGACACCATAGGATTCTCTTCCAGCCTCCCACAAGTTTTATGTTCCCCTTCCAGTATCTTTATTGCCCAGCTGACTTTATCAACAAGGACTGTTGCATGAATCCTCCAACTGCAATCATTGATCAAACACCTTGCAGTATATCTATGATTGTAAGCATAGTCTACTGTCACAGCAAAGCCTTCTTGTATGCAAAAATCTCTGAAGACATCATGAAATTGTTCCTTGGTTTCAAATATTAACCAAGGTTCAAGTTGAATTGACCCAAATGGTAAGTTAGACCAGACCTTCCCATTTTTGTACAGCTTGTCTAAAACATGAGTCCCATCCAGGTAGTCTTCAAAAGTCTTCTCTTGTATATTATCAGCTAGGTCTTCTTCTTCCACAATATACTCACCATCAAGGTTCAATTCCATATCCAAATCATCCTCAGCTTCAGAAAATTCATAGTCATCATCTTCACTATCCTCAGAAGGCCATGGATCAGATTCACCATCACTGTCCTCAACTTGCACAGGTTTTTTGCTCCTTGTATTCACTTCCCTCGCTCCTCTTTTATTCTTCACAACCTCAACTCCATACTTTTTTGTTGTGCTTCTTGGCACCCTCCACTCTTTTGGTTTAACTCTAGATTGCACTTTAGGCTTGCCAACAGAACTAGAAGCAGCACTAGGTTGGGGTGGTGGGGGTGGTGGTGGGGGGGGTGGTGTAGGCTGCCTGGATTGGGGTGGTGATTCATGCATGTGTGGGTTATTTGGGGAAGCATGGTGTGTTGGTGTTGCTGGTGGAGAAGGGTGCTGACTTGATGGTGGAGATATAGGCTGACTTGGTTGAGTTGACTGCTTAGGTTGGGTTTTTTTCTTCCTTGGAGTTACTTTTTTCCTTCTAGAAGATTTTTTGGGTGGTGATGGTGTCTTACTTTTTTCATTTGAGGGTTGAGATGGTTCATTTTGTGAAGGTTGAGGTTGAGAATCTCCTGGAAATGACTCATCAGCTGCCGCAGTGTGGAATACCCTAACATATTTAGTCACATCTTCTTCTGCATTCACAACAGGGATCTCTACAGCAACAGTAAATGGTTCTTGAGCATTAAGCTCCTCCTCAACTTCTTCAGCCTCTGCATTTCTCCTTCTCTCTTCCTCCTTCTGCCTAATTTTGTCAGCCCTGATCTTCAAAGTTCTTGCCCAACTAGCTTCTGCAGACTGGAAGACAACAGATGGGTTTTCTGTCTCTTCTATGAACACTTTTATTTCATCCTTCCCTTCATTCCACTCCCACATTTTCAACATTGCCCCATCATCAACTAACTCTAGTTTACGATTAGTTCTAGGTTTACTCACAAACAAAGTGAAGTACTTAGGGAGGAAAACGTTCTACTTTACTGAATCCTCAAACATATACTCAAACAACTCCATCAAATTGGTCTTATCAGTGTCATCCACCCTAACATCAAAACTACCACCTGGAAAATGACAAGGTAAAGTCGTATCCCCTAATAAAAAATAATTCCTAAGTCCTCTAACTAAAGTAGATAGGGAAGTAGGGTCGATCTCCACTGGGAAACAAATCTTTTTACTCCTAATTAATTAATATAATCTAAATTATCTAGTAGCCAATATTTATATTCGAATAAGTAACTAAACTACTAAGATTGAGAATAGAGAGAAAACAATATATGAAAGGATCTAGGGTATAGGTTCACCAATAAATAATACTCCAGGGTAAAACATAGTAGTCAATCATTAACATTGCATAAATAACACGATTAACAGGCTCTCGCAATTTATTAATCACCATAGATCTAACAGGCTTTCGCAATTTACTAGATCTAAGTTCTTATTGAAAATAGCCTTTAATATCAAATTAACATCTGCTCGATTCATCAATTTAATATTGCTACACTTTTACAAGCCGCAATTGTAAAACATTAAAACAATTCAATAAGAAATTATCATGCATTACCAATAATCAATAGTAGCCAATCATCAATGCATCAATTAACCAGATTATAAAGGGCTTTCGCTACGCATTACAATCACACAATTAATTTACCGGTATTAAATCTCATCTCTTGAATCTCGACTTAACCATTTATAAATTAATCTGCCTATTGAAACTAGACCTAAACATTAATTCTCATCTATCGAATCTCGAATCAATGTTGTCAAACTCATGCATAAAAGATAGGCCTAATCTAGTCACAGAGCATTAAATCAATCAATAGGAAATTAATCTAGCATTGATAATTAACAATAATAAATTACCCCTTCATATTATTTATTAGATCCCCATAAACCCTAGAAATTAAACTACTCACAAATCATCATGACTAAACTAATCAAATAAATAAATAAAAGCATAATCAAGGAAGCAAATAAAATAACTGAAATTAAAGGGAAAGAAATTGTTACCAAAAATAAATCTGGAATTAAAGGAAGAATTAAGAACAAAAGTTTAGAGAGAATTTAAGAGAGAGAAAAATACTAAGTAGAGAGAGAAAGTCTAAGAAAGAAGGATAATCTAATAATTCCGTACAAAATCGTATTTAAACGTTTTCTAAAACAAGAATTAAAACTAAACTAAATCAGGTCTTCCAGAAACGCGCGCCCGATCGGGCGCACCTTTTTCTTCGCGTTCTTCCCAAGCAGCATCGCCCGATCGTGCTAGATTCTCGCACGATCGGGCGCGCCTTAGCATGCAGCCCTATGGTTTGCCGCGCCTGATCGGGCTAGAGGTTGCCCGATCGGGTCTTTGCTCCTCTTGAGGCTTGGACTTCGATTGGGCTAGATTTCTCGGCCCAATCTGGGTTTCCTCTCGGGTCTCGAATACTTGGTCCAAACGCCTCGGGATCCCAATTACCGAGCCCTTAATCACCGGCTCTCACCGATCCTAGGCTCCAAAAGTGGTCGCGTCCTTCTAGCTTCCGTAGGTGCTCTAAAATATCCCGGGAAAATACTCCAAAAGCATAAATCCCTGCAAAAGTCAACCAAATCTACGAAAACACTAGAAAACACCAATTAGTAATAAAAGTGGCTTTAAAGAGCCAAAAACACTACTGATTATGACCAAGGGATGGGGGTAAAATACTATATAAAATAGACACATCAGAAAACGAACTAATGCCACAATGCACTCATCCTAAAAATGAATAATAAGCAACAACAATAAACATCACATCACCAGTTAACATCAAACTTAATCTAATCACCAGTTAACAACTTCCAAACTAATCATTCGAAGTTAATAGCATAACATCCAAACTAACATAATCATTTTCGAATAAACCCTAACCCTAAATCAATTTCGCAAAAAACAACAAAACCAGAGCTCGAAAATCAAATCAATGAGAAGAATATTACCTTTAGAAAGCTTAACCCAACCCAGGTGAGAATTTCGAGCGAAATTCAGTCACGAACAACTTCCTCTCTCAAACCGCACCAACCAGGTTCCGTGTTCAATCGAAAAGCCCTAATTATCGTCCTACTAGCAACGTCTACTTTAGATCGAAGAAAGTTCACAGCTTTTGGATTGATTTTTGAGGATCAACTTCAATGGTGAAGAACAGAGAGACGCTTCAATGGAAAGGGAAAATGGGGGGTCAATTTTTTCGAATTACAAGTGTGATGTTTGGGGGAGTCAACCCTATTGACGGCGCCAGTTTGATGTAT